CCAGTGATGTAACCGTCGCACCATCCGCTGGCCCACCGAGTTCATCACTGTATACCAGTGGTTTTCAATCACAGTCCTGCCCTCTAGGGATAATTTTGGATACTTGTGGAGAGACGTTTTGGTTGTCACAGTGATGGACAAAACTGGCGTTTACTGGAGATGGGCCAAGGATGCTGGGTGTACCACAATGGATATACCATTGTCGATATACCACAAGCTCAGTGAGATCTGCCCCTTTAATAAGCTGTAATGATATAGAGTGGGTGAATGTATAAAAATAAATAAATAAAAATAGAAATAAACCCTTAGAAAAACCTGCCTCTTGTCCCCAGGAGGACCTGATAGTATCTCACAGAACATTTATGAAAATGAAAATCCTGGTTATAATAACCCAAGTCTAGAAGTCAATTCTACTTCACATTTAATTTTTCTTTTTTTTTTTTTTGGAGAGGTTTTTGCTACAGGGCTTGTGCACTTGCCAGAAAGACAGAGAGAGACAGAGAGACACAACGTGAGAGAAATCACCCCCCGGGGAGATGGCTACGCTCCAATCCCTTCTCCTCCATTCTCCTCTTGGGATCTTGGGCATGCACGTACACGTGCCCGGTGTGAGTTTAAGCCACCGGGTCCAGGACTTGAACCATGGTTGACTACATGGGAGTCCAGTGACATAGCTATTATGCCAACTGCTGGTCCCACATTTAAACTTTTTTTGCATTCTTAAAATATGGAACAGAATTTCTAGGAATATGTAAACGGAAGAAAAATAGCACTTTGTTTTGTTTGAAGCTTTAAATATTCACTACTTGGAAAAAGTCATGTCACCAAAAGACATCCATGGTATCTTTTTAATTTTTTTTTGACAGGTTTTTTTGTTTTTGTTTTTTGCTAGAGAATGTGTGTGCTTGCTAGAAAGACAGAGACAGAGAGACAGAGAGCAAGAAATCACCCCCCAGGGTGGATGACCACACCACAATCCCTTCTCCTCCATTCTCCTCTTGGGATCTTGGGCTCACATGCACACGCACCCAGTGTGAGTTTAAGCCACTGGGTCTGCAGAGAGAAAAGGGAGGAGTGAGAAAGCAAACCACCAGGTCTAGGACTTGAACCACCGTCAGCCATGTGGGAGGCCAGCAGTTCAAACACCACACCACCTGCCAGCCCAGCAAATTACCTTTTGAATTTTCAGTTGAAGCAGCTGTCATTCCTCTACTTGAGCACCCCCTCCCCCACCAGCTTCCTGGTTGTTCTCAAATGCCTTTGTGTTTCCAGAGCCTTGGAGAGGGAAGCGAGTTGAAATTATAGATGAGGCATGTAGGTGAAAGCCTAGGTTTGCCTGGGAATCTGTCCTGGGACGGGGCAGTGGGTTGGTCCAAAGCTGCTCCTGGCCCCCAGTAGACTGTCCCCTTTGCTCACAGAATGCACACCATCTTGGGGCTGATTTAGGGTAATTTCAAAGCACCTTCTTCCAAGACCAAGAAAGCAAGTCACAAAAGGACCACTTTTCTGCAGCCATGATTCCTAGGGCCTTGGTTTTCCTCCAAGTCTGTGTCCATTTTACTTTAGAAAAAATTCCAATCACAAGCAACATTAAAAGAAAAGCAGCTTAAGTGCAAATAACACCAATAAAAGCCTTGTGTACCTGTGAGAGCTGCATGTCACCACTTCCACAGAGCATGAGAAAACTGCTGTGACAGGTTCTCCTGGGCTGTGTGCCACCCTCTCCCCAACTAGACCGGAAACCTCCTAAAGGCAGAACAGTGTCTGTGTCATCATTACAACAGCGATGACAATGGTCCTGACTAACCTTTAGTGAGTGCTTAGTATGGATCGCACATATTTAGTCCAATAATCTTACAATGTTGGTTCTTTATCATTGTGCATTAACAGATGAGGAAACAAAAACATGCCCAAGGTTGTGAAATGACGGCTAGAGGCCACACCCTGCCCCCCCTGCTCTGTGTCCTGTGCAGAAGAGGCTCAGTGAGGCTGCTGGGTGCAGGGTTGAATAGATGGATCTGAGAAAGGACAGTGTTTATTTCTGCAGCCAGATGCTCTCCCCTGAGCTATCCCCCTGGAGGAGCAACCAGATCGCATGGTTTATTGCTAATGAGAATCTTTTCCATCTGCAACCATTTATTCAGACACACCACTGAATGATAAACTTAAAAGATAGATTCTCTCTTTTTTTTTTATTTTTAGAGATAGATTTTTGCTATAGGGTGTGTGTGCTCTCCTGAAAGACAGAGACAGACAGACAGCAAGAATCCCACTCCCCCCCCCTCAAGGGGTGGATGGCCATGCTACGATCCCGTCTCCTCTGGGATTTTGGGCACCCATGCACACACGCCCTGCGTGAGTTTTAATTCAGCAGCTGGGTCCAACACTCGAACCGCACTTGACTATGTGGGAGTCCAGCGATGTAACCATTACACAGTCTTCTGGTTCCAAAAGATAGACTGTCTCTTAAGTGTGAGTCCGTTAATAGTGGTTTGACAGAACCTAGAAATCCAGCAGCATCTCTACCTAACATCATCTACCTCAGATGGTAAAGGGGCTGAGGTGGTGAAACCACTGTGGTTTTGATTGTTACGGGTTCTCTCTGCTTTGGTCTGGAGGTCTTGCTGTGGAGCCAGGCCCCAGCTGGAGCAGGCCTTCTCAAGAAGAGCCATGGCAGGGTGGTGAATGCTGGGTTTGGGTGTGTCAGTCAGGGAAGACACAATAAGGGGAAACCAAAATGCACAAGACGGAAGAAATTCACGACTTACGGGTCCAAGAGGGGAAGAAATGCCGATGGGAGGCCCACAGGAGTTCCAGAAGTGGCAGAGCTCGACCAACAGGTGGGGAGCGAGTGAGTGGGGGAAGCCGTGGCTGTGCCTTTACCCTTTGTGGGTGCACAGATGGCAGGTCCCAGGCTTCAGTGGGTTGTGGATTGGCTAGTTTAATGAGAACACATGTGAAGGGCAGCACTTTCCACCAGTCAGCAGCTGTGAGGTCCGGTGGATTTGGATCAGAGAGGTGAGAAAGGAGTGGGCTAAATTGCAAACAGCCAGACCAGGAGGGGAAGTTTAACAGAGCAAAGGGGCCGGGATGTAATGGTTTCAAGTAACTCAAGCTTAGGTCTAACAAGGGCTGCCTAAGTAGCAGTGAGCTCAAACACATTTGTGACAGGTGCCTTTTTGGGTCCGTGCTGGATTCGGTTCCACCAGTCCTGGAAGCTTCTGCTCCCATTTCCTGAGTCAGCAGGGAACACTTGCTGGGTCTCAGTCAGGGCAGTGGATGGGTTCGTTCTGAGTTTTCCCTGACCTTGAGACCATGTTTCCTCCCTGCTCACATTGGCTGGGTTTGACTGTGACCTCGACCTCGGCAGAGCTCTGGGAAGTCTGAAGCTAAGCGGAAGAAGTGAGCCACAATCTGTTTAGCTGCTTCCAAAGAATTCTCAGCTTGTCCGTAAACTGAAGCAAAGGTATGGGCATGAATTCACTAGCTAATAATGTAGGCACAGGGGAGATGATGGGGCATGCTTAAAATGTTGTAGCCTTTTAAACCTAAATAAAGATGTCCTTAGCTATTACCTGAAACTTGTGACTGACATTAATATAATGAGTAGATGCGTCATAAAATATTTCTGGTGGAGCCATCCCAGCTCAGTAAGCCTGGAGCAAGGGAATCCCAACAACTGAGCCCTAAAGTGGTAAAAACATTAACCTTTTTTTTTTTTAAAAAAAAAATTATTTTATTTAACTTTATTTATTATTATTATTTTTTCCAGTTTGATCAGAGAGAGAGAGGGGGATGAGAAAGAAGCCACCAGGTCCAGGACTGGAACTGTGGTCAGCCATGTGGGAATGTAGTGCAGTTAACCTGACATTAATATAATGAGTAGATGCGTCATAAAATATTTCTGGTGGAGCCATCCCAGCTCAGTAAGCCTGGAGCAAGGGAATCCCAACAACTGAGCCCTAAAGTGGTAAAAACATTAACCTTTTTTTTTTTTAAAAAAAAAATTATTTTATTTAACTTTATTTATTATTATTATTTTTTCCAGTTTGATCAGAGAGAGAGAGGGGGATGAGAAAGAAGCCACCAGGTCCAGGACTCGAACTGTGGTCAGCCATGTGGGAATCTAGTGCCTTTAACCACCCTGCCACCTGCCAGCCCCAGGACATTAATCTTTGACATTCAATCACTGAGCGAAATATTTTGGAGGTAATAAAATAATGATAGTCAGGTTCCTGAGCTTGTTCCTGTAGTCAGTTCATTATCTTGGTATTATTTTCACTAATGTTCCTCTTATTCTTTTTAAAAATAAAAACATATGGTGTCAAGTTAGTGTATTTTCCCCCAGCCCAACAACCTCATTTGCAATTGAGCACTCAAAAAAAAAAGAAAAGAAATCTCAGTGGCTCAGTGGTAAACACATTTTATTTCTACTTCACTTCTTCTGGAAGTTTTTTTTAAAGAGAAAAGATAAGAAGAACCCCTCTGGTAAGTGAGTGTGCAAGCTTGGTGTCCAGGCTTGCTTCCTGTCAGCCAACTTTGAGAAGCCACAAAGAGCACCCAGGTGACGGTCAAGGCACCACACTTGTCATTCATTTATTGGGAACTCCACATTAGCCACCCAGAGCTTCCAGAAAAGTCCCGTCATCTGAGTCGATGTGGTTACATCTTACTGATAATGCCCTTAAAGCCAACAACATTGAACTTGGTTAACAGTTACATTTTGTTCTTTGACTAGGAAGTAGTTATAGTGACAAGGTACAAAAAAATAATAAGCATGCAGCCCTTTATTAAGTTTTGCAAAGTCTCTGCTCGTAGTTTTGTATATTACATGACTGTGTTATACAAATACATTTATTTACAAAAACACTCTACCTGTGCAAACTTGTTGCTTTTTAAAAATGTATGGATAGTCCCATTTTCTGCCCATCCCGATAGATACTTTTAAAGCATGCATAAAAATGAACTTTGGTGTGAGAAACCTACTCTATGTGCTATCACATACAGTATTTTTATGTCTAGTGGTATCTATATATTTACAAAAGATCAGTTTACAGAACCGTACAGAAGTGTACATTTTAAAATCCACAATGCAATAGTGTGGGTTACCAGGCCTCAGAAAACAAAGGAAGGGGTTAGATGGTGCAAAGAAAACAACTAAAGAATCTCAATATGTTTAAAAAAAAAAGAAAAAAAGAGAGAGAGAAAGAAAAAAAAGGAAGGAAGAAAGCAAGGAAGCAAGCAAGCAAAGAAACGAGTTCATTTGGGCTAGCAAATGATTATCTATACTTTCCATGGCAGTGCAATAGTTTGATAAATTGCCTTCTACACGTAGGTCTCCCTGTTGGCTCGCGTAGAAGTTCATTGGCTTCGAGTCTAGCACACTACTTTCAAATGTACAATGCTATAATCGTATCAAAATGTTTTGGCAAAAAGGATCTTGAAAGGAACTGTGGAGTTTTGACAAAAATAGAAATCTGTAATAAAACTAAATAACACTAAAATAAGAGGACATATTATAGTATCTGTTTTACAATTTGTATAGTCACACTTGTGTATTTCTCTGTTCACTTCTAGTCTCCGTAATGAAAAATATTTTTATACAAAACATACTAAAATTCTGGAATCATACATGGTTTACATGCTGAACAGTTTCCTGTTGCTCGCACACCCTCCTCTCTCACCATAGTCTCTGTACAACACATGCTTACGTCATTGAATAGGTATCCAAGGTAACAGTGAACACTATGTAGTCACAACAGCAACGAAGGGAAAAAAATGAAACCAAACAAGCTTGACTGCGATCGGTTAATCCAGTATCTAGCACATTCTTAGCATTTAGCCTCAAACAGTACAGCGATACATTACATTCTCTTGGAAAAAGTTGTTGCAGACTGTTCAAAGAAAAAAAAATTTTTTAAATGGATCTCCAACTTGTGCCTAATAAGATCTGGCCTTTAAGAGGTTTCCTTTGCTGTGGGTGGGGTGGCTTTGCTTGAACTTCCGTTCTGTGCCTTGTAGCTGGTGAGGCTAGGAGTATGGATGGTCCTGATGCCCTTGGCACCTTGATGCAGTGAGGTGGGGGAGGCAGGGGAGGGAGGGGAGGAAGAGGAGGAGGAGGGAGGGGCTGCTCGGCCGTTTTGAGTCTGCAGTGAGAAGGAGAGATGGTGACCTTTCCCTGGGTGAGTGGGGCTCTGGAACTTCAAGGAGCCATTAGAGACAGAAGGGATGAGGGAGGCGGAGTGAGCAGATCGTCCTGTTTGGGGGCTGAGAGGGTTAGAAGTAATCGGCGGTTTAGTAGCAGGTGGATTAGGGAGGTTAGAGCCGTCACCACTAGAAGAGGGCAGGGAACTGCTTTTCCCAGAGCTGGGAGAAAGGGCTGGAATCTTAGAAGCAGGTAAGGAGGGGGAAGTAGGCTTACAGTCCCCACCAGCTTTCTTAGCACTTCCATTAGCCTGTGAATAAAGACGGCGGAGACAGTTTGTCAGAAAGCTGGCAACACGATCGATCCATCCACAGGGCCTGGCAACATGGCCCTTCTGAGAACAATTAAATCAAAGAAAAAAAATCACAAAACAGTTCAAGGCCTGAGCTAAGTCTTGTGCTGTACTGGACCTGCTAGGACCCCCCCACCCCTGAGTACATGGCAAAGGGTGTACAGAACAGGAGGGTAGGAAGACCGCGCTTGTAGGAAGAGCCACATCATTCCAACCACCACTGCCCGCGTGCCGGGTGGGCCATGTGTGTGGGTGGCCACTGGGGGGAGGCGCAGAGGGGGAGGGTTAATGTGCTTCTAGTGCAGTGTGGTCAGCACAGACGTTAGTACTGGTGACTTTAAGGGCAGCTTAACCACAGGCTGGCTTGTCTGTTTCCCAAGGTGTTCTGAGGAAGCAACTACATTCACCAAAGAAAGGTCACCCGGTCTGGCACCGTGTGTTAACGGTTAAAATCTGAAGTCACAAAGTAAAAGATGTTTTATTGCAAGCATGCAAAAGCGTAGTGGAAAGTTTAACAAAGGTGTTTTAGACTTTCTTCATGCCCCCAGATCCAGGATGTCTACGTAAACCGTATCTTACAAACGAAACACAGTATTTGGTGTAAACTAAGTCAGTGACTCGCTTCCGAACCGCAAGAGTGTCCATCCAAAATTGGGTTTAAGGTAAAACTACCTGACGATATTGGCGGGGATCCTGCAGCTTGGACTGCTTGCCAGGCTTGTCCAGGCTTCCGGGCCTCGTCTTGGAACTCATGGGGACTGGCATTCTGCTCGTCTGGGGGGTCCCGCCGGCGCCCTGTGGAAAGGAGCGGCGAGGAGGGAAGAGAAAGAGAAGCACATGAGTGGGTGGTCACTGAGACACCTACTGTGTGCAGAGAAGCTCAGGGTGAGAAGCCACAAGCCCTACATGCAGGACAGATCTAGGAGACACCAACGGGGGTTAATCGGAAGAATCAAACGGAATACACTGCTCACTACTGATCAAACGGATTTTAATGTGAGTCCCAGAGCAATCATTTCAACTGCAAACGGTTGACCCAGCGTCCTTGCATCGACCCAACACCAGTCAGCAACAGAGGTAAAAACAGAATCGATGAGCTGTTAGACACCTAGTTGCTGTTGTTTTGAAGGGGAGGGAGAAAGTATGAGAGGAGAGCGTCATGGCGAACAGACAAAAACGACATGAGCCACCTGAAAGGAAGCGATTAAATCACAAGACACCTTTGGCTAGTGGTGATTACGGCAGGTTTAAGAAAGCAGCCGGTCTTTCCGTTTTCCACCAGACCAAGATACCTTACGTGGAGCTGCAGGTAATGACGTGGGGGGCTCTGGGGCTGGGGGGGCTTCATCCAGAGCTAGCAAGGTTCGGGGAGAGACCTCTCGGGTTGTGTGGGAAGAACTTGCAACAGACTCTCTGTTGGAAGAGCAGGAGGGATCACCTAGGGCTTTGGGACTCATTTCGCTGATGGTATTTTCCAGCTGTTTGATGGTCTGCTCCAGGCTGTCCAGCGTCCTGTAGGTACTTTTCCGAATCTCATCAGTTCTTGAAATCTGAAACGTGCCCTCTGAGCCGGCCTGCTCTGGTCTCCTAGACACAGTTTTTGGGGTGTCTTCAGGCTGAGATCTAGTAATTTCGAATCTCTTGGCTTCTTTGTGCTGCTTCAATGTGCCATCCTCTTCCTCCTCTTCATAGACCACCACCTGGAGGGTCTTCTTGCCCGTTTTGGTTCCTGTGCGGATCGCCTGAGTGAGAGCAGCAAGTTGCTTTTTAGGGAATTTGAATTTAAACTTTTTCTTGGGGCTTTCAAATTGGTCATCGGTCACGTCACCCTTGCTTTCTGAACTTGGAGAATCTGCTGGGCTGAGCTTGTTCGGCTCAGTTTTATTCATTTCCTGTCCTCCTGAGATTTGGGTCTCTGTGGACAGAGAGTGAGGAGGTGGTGGGGTTTGGGCCTCCTGTCCTGTTCTAAGACTGCCCGAGGCCACCCTCTTGGGAAACATGGAGGAAGTGTTATTCTGCATGGCAGGGTCTCCGCTTTCCTCCTCCTCTTCCTCCTCTATCTTTTCCTCAGTCATCATTCTTTCTAATTCCTCATCGCACTCCTCAAAGATGGTGGAAAGTCTCTTATATGCGGACCGGATGTCCATGGGTTCATCAAAAATGATGATCACGGGCTTTTTGTCCAGGCACACGACTGGCTCCTCATTTTCAGTCCCTTCCTGTGGGGAGGTCATCTTCCTGGCGTCGATGTTCACGGTCTGGACATCCTCCCCCTTCTGGCTCACTATATCGTGGACCTCCCCGCTGGACAGAACCTGCACGGCGGTCTTGGTAATCATGAAGGCAATGTTGTCACGGGCTGTGTTCTCTTCCGTGGGAGAGCTGGGAGTTGATTCTCCATCCTCGCTCGGGGTGACCATGGCTTGCCTCCCCACCTTGGGTCTCAGAACGACTTGGCCAGAATTGGCCACGGGAACCTCTTGATCTTGTGTCCTGACATCACGGACACCTGAGTCTGTTAATCTAGCAGGGGAGGGAACGTGAGACACACCTGCATTTTCCTGCCCCTGTTGATCCATCTCTTTGGTTTTTCCAAAATGCAACTTCTGGTTATCAGAGTCAGGAATAGAGTGCGGCAGTCCTGACACCCTAGTAGGGCCTTTAGTTATTTCCTCTTCTAATGAACTAATGCCATAAAGACTGAAATTGACCCTAGACACACTTTTCTGGGAGTAGTTTCTACTATCTCTGAGTACATCCTTATTGTGTACGGAATTGTCCTTCGTGAAAACGTCAGCTTTGTATTCTGATGTTCTTGATGCATCAGAAATACTATTCTCCATTCCTCTTTCCCACTTAGGAGGGTCACTAGGTCTTAGAGCCCCTGCAGTCACCTGAGAGGGAGAGCAGAGGAGGGAAACCACACACATTAATCAGAAATGGATCTGCAAGGAAGGTAATGAATCTGCATGGTATCAGTCGGGACACAGATCTGGCGAACTCACCTTCCGGGATTCCACTTGGGGGCCATTTTCATAGGCAACATCAGATTTTCGTACATCTTCATGGAAAAATTCCAAGTTCTGGCAGAACAGTGTAGGACATGTTACTCCACAAAACCATACCCCCCAAAGGGGACTAGAACTACGTTGTTCCTTTAATGACATTTTCAAAACATGCGAGCCAAGCACACCTGTTACACACCGATCCAAAGCCTAAGCTCAGTTTACCTTGGATGGTTTTGTTCTCCAACTTCCAAAAATGCCCTGTGTTTGCATAAGATGAAAATCTCAATTAGCAAGTGTTTCAAGGAGGTCAAATCTTGAGGGAGAGCAGTGAAGAGGATAAAGGGACTGATGTTGGATCAACACGTCCTCGTGCCATCATCTGATGGTGAGCTTAGCAGAATCGAAAACCAGCAGAACTGTAGAAAGCACAATGTCTGGGCAGGTAGAAGGCTTGGATTCTTTCTAATCCAGATCTGCCACTTAACTATGCTACTTTAGGCAAATCACTTCACTTCTCTGGGCCTTCATCTTCTCAACTATAAACTGAGGAACCAGACCAGACTCTTACTGACCCTTCCAGGTCATTTCAGGCTTATCTCTGCTTCTTTAATGAAAACTATTTTTACAAAGACTTCCGTCCTGGCTAGATGTGATACTCTGGGGTGGAAAAAAAACCCAAAAACAAAAAAAACCAAAAAAACATGATCTTTCCCTGATGACATGACAGATTGAAAATATCCTTGCAGTTTGTACTGCAAGTGTCAAAATACTAAATAACCTTCAAATTAGGAACAGCCAAGACAGTCAAATTAACAGGCAGGAGGCTAATGCTGCCACAGTATCATTTAAACACTTACAAAACACATGTTTGAGGGTAAAAGGACACTGTGACATCGTGATGCAACTTTTATTCTATGTATTTTCTTTTGCGAAGTGAAGATGCATTTCAGAGGGTCTCACCAAAAGACCCAAAGATCCAGGTGGGACCCAAAGATCCAAGGTGAGACCCAGGTACTGAGGGTGCTTCCCTGAGAGGCAGGCCTTTTCCAGCATGGGTGTGTCAGGAGCCTCAGGCCCTGACACAGCACTAGCCCTAGTGATGCCTGGTGGCTTCCAAGGCACTGTTGCCCTTTCTTCTTGTTGCCGAAGCCCGAGAAGAGCAGGTGACTAAAGCAGGGTGGAACACAATCCCAACGAAGGCTGTTTGGTTAAAGCAATGACAATACAATAAAGCACAATAACCCAAGCGCAATAACCCAGGCCGAGCCAAAGTCAGCCCAGAGCAATCCTACTGGTTAAAAATGGAAAGAATGTTCACACACATTCAAAGAATAACACGCAGACAACGAAGTCGGTGTTAATCACGTGGAAATATTGCTCAAGGTATGAGGGACATTAGCACCAAACACATCCTGTTTCATATCTGCCTACCCCCTCCTTAAGCCCCCCAAACAAGTACAGCAACTCAACTGCTTCAGTGGAACCCCATAACCTCTTTGGTGGGATTTTCAATTTAGATTAGAACATGTCAAGTGAAAGGTCTTAAGAAAGAAATTGATGAAGTTGGTGGCCTAAAGTTTCAAATGAAAACATGAAGTTAGCCTGCCTCAATAGGATGAGTGAGAATTTCCCCTCTGAATCAAAGAAGGGGTTGGTGTGGACTCTAAAGAAGGTGTATGTGTGGCCATTGTGCCACTGGCCCCCATTTGCTGAGGGTTAGGCGTCTGTTCTATTGGTCAGGGGACAAGACACACTGTTCATTTACTATTTCATATGCCACCCTGTAGTGTATGTATTTTTAAACTAATCTAGTAGCAAGAACACTACAGTGAATGTCACTAAGATAACATTGTTAAGTTGAGGTTTCATAGACTCTGTCACTTTTATCACTGGGCTAGAAAAGAGAATGAATGGGGCCAGCAGATGGCACAATGGTTACGTCGCCGGACTCCTACGTAGTCAACCGTGGCTTAACTCCTAGACGTGGCAACTTAAACTCATGCTGGGTGCATGTGCACCCAAAATTCTGAGAGGAGAATGGAGGAGAAGGCATTGTAGTGTGGCCATCCCCCCCGGGGGGGGTGATTTCTTGCTTTCTGTCTCTATCTCTCTGGCAAGTACATGTGTCCTATAGTAAACATCTCTCTGCAAAAAGAGAGAGAGAGAGAGAGAGACAGAGAGAGAGAGAGAGAGAGAAACAATGTATCAAAGCAAGTGCATGAACTTCATCCCAGGCAACTTGGTCACAACTGTGGTGTAAACTCACAATCATTTCTTAGTCTTAGATAATCAATATTCTGCAGAAAAGGTCATTAAGTCTGTTGATAGGCCCCAAAATTCAGATTGTTTATACAACTAGAGAAGCACACTTAATATGCATGGGGACAATAAACCCAAATTAAGAGGCACAGTTACAGGAAAATTACATATAAGGAAAGTGCAAGGCTGAGGTTTTACGATGATAGGAGAATAATTGTAAAAAAAAAAAAAACATTTGATTAATGGAAGGGAAGATAAATAGAGCAGGAAGGAGTTAATAAGAACAGAGTATAATTATTGAGAAAAAGCACTATGAGGAAACCCAGTGTGGGGCATTTAACAAAGATCAATGGACTCTTGAGTGAGATAAATGCAATTATAGATTTCTAAGTGTGGGGTACGAAATCTCCTGCAACTTCCTAGCCAAGTAAGAAACCTGTACAATGAGACAGTGATTATCTCCAAGGGGAGCTTGGAGGTGTTCCAAGTTCTCAATTTGTATTTTAGAGAGAAATGTTCACCCTGTCTCAAGTGTACCAGGCCATGCCAGGGACCTTCTACAAGTTGCTTTTCATAAGGTCATGTAAGGAAATTTCACATCCTGCAAAAGCAATCCATTTGTGATACTATTCCATTGGTTCAATTCACATTAGTAGGGGGTTTTCTTCATGAGAAAGATTGATCAATAATAACCTAATTATCTCTCCTGGTGCATATGAGATCTCCTAGCCCCTATGAGTGGTCTCCTACATTAGTTACACAGCAGAGGGAGTTTCACAAGAGCTCGATGATGGCTAGGAGCCAGTGGGGACCAGGCTCCTTGGCAAGGGCTCGTGACTGGGACCTTGAAGCCCAGGCCTGTGCCTCTTGAAGGGCTGTGTTAGAATAGCCCCCCAACTTTGTGACGGTGTATCTGCCTCACTAAGCTAATTTATACTGAACTGAGAGATCCACTTGGGGTAGTGATTGGGCTATTCTGCAGCTGATCCATTTGATTTAATTGAAGGGCAACCAGAGACTTCAAAATCTGAAATAGAAGTTCCTGGTAAAAAATGTTTGGAATTGGTCATTATAAGTTTTTTAAACATGAAATCGAGGCAGAGGCTTAAGTCAAATAAGATGGTTCTATATCCACAAACCATCAAAGTTCCAGCTCCAACTTGGAGCTGCAGTTCAAACCCGTGGGCAGACGTCCTTCCCCTAAAGCACTCTGCAAGGACAATGGACTTCGTTTCAGAACCTGGGCATGTTTTTGAAGGCATGAAGTGCATGTGAGCATAAAACTACACCGAACTACCTGTCTCAGAAGATATACTTGGGAAACTAGTAATACTCAGTGAAATTTCGGCGTGGCATCCTTGAACGTAATTGTAATGATCTGTTTGTGTATTTCCACGAGGATGGATTTGTGCATGGCAGCAGGTATTCTCCATTCTGCATATTCTTCCCTGAATTTAAGACTTCTATCTATTTTTATTGTAGATCTTTTTGTCCAGAAGCTATGTTAAAAATGAGAAAAACTAGGGCCAGCAGATGGTGTAGGGGTTATATTGCCGGACTCCCACGTGGCCAACTGTGGCTTCAGAATCACACTCGGCACATGTGCATGCATGCCCAAGATCCCAGGGGGAAAATGGAGAAGAGATTGTGGCATGGCCAGCCCACTAGGGATGATTTCTCACTTTCGCTCTATTTCTGTCTCCCTCTCTCTCCAGCAAGCGCACACAACCTAAGGCAAAAATCTCTTAAAACAAACAACAACAAAAAACAAACAACACCCCCCCTCAAAACCCCAGAACTCCTATACATTTGGTTGCTGTTTCTACCATTTTTAAAAAACAAATTTATTGGGAACCAGCAGTTAGCGTAATGGCTATGTCGCTGGACTCCCACGTAGTTGACCGCGGTTCGCGTCCCGGACCCGGTGGCTTAAAACTCATGCCGGGCGCGTGGGCATGCGTGCCCAAGATCCCGAGAAGAGAATGGAGGAGAAGGGATTGTGGCGTGACCATCCCCCCTGGGGGGTGATTTCTCGCTTTCTGTCTCTATGTCTCTCTCTGTCTGTCTGGCGAGCGCACGCGCCCTATAGTGAAAATCTCTCCAAAAAAAAAAAATTATTTATTTAACTTTCAGATTAATTTTGCATTTTACTGAAAGTCCTAGAAATTTGTGAAAAAATATATATCCTTTAGTTTGGGAAGCTATTCTTCTAGATTCTGCATATACTATTGTATGCTGCGCACAGGGCGTTTGCTCTGGAAACCTGAGCAGTAGTGCTGAGATCTCAACTTACACCTGTGCCTCCATTAGTTTAATGAGAGAGAAAACGAGAGAGGACACGAAGGTCAAGTGCAAGAGAGCCGTGTTAGTATCAGAGAAAGGCAGGACGGACTGTCGACTGAGTGGCAGGCCGGCGGTTGCCACGTTACCTTCTTCTCCTTGGCTGGGACCGTGGAGCCCGGCCTAGTGTCTCTAACGTGACTGTCGGCCCGGGCCTGCTCAGCATGACTGTTTGAATTTACATCCATAAAGGAACACTTCTGGAATGCCTAAGGAATTAAAATACTGAGGTTAACAGGGAGCCGGTGTACTGAGCGGGAAGGAAGGAACCAGGCAGGGAACCCAGAGGTGTGGGCCCCCTGCCCGCCCTGCGTGGAGGTTCAAGCCAGGGAGGTAGCCCCTGAGGTGGGTTCCATGTCTGGCTTCTCACTGCAAAGCTGGCGTAAGGGCTGAGCCTGGGACAAAGGGTCTGGACCTTCTTTGGCCACACCCAGAGATGGATAGAGCCTTCCAGTCTGGGATGACCCTGGTCTGGACTAGAAGGTTTCTTGCTTTGACCTTTTTAAAAATGGTTGAACATGCAAATCAATTAAAATAAAAAGCTAACTCTCCTTTTTTCTTTTCATTTTAAAAATAGCCTTTTTGGACTTACAGAAGTTTACAAGATATTTTAAACCTTTAAAATAGAAATAATCCTTGGCCCAGCCATGGTGGTGTATGCTGCTAAGGTGCTGTGCTCCATAGGCTAGGACTGCATAAGAGGCCTGGGTTCGATTCCTCATCCAACCTAAAGGCTGGGTGTACTGTGCGCACCTGTAATCCCAGCGGCCTGGAATGCTGAGGCAGAAGGATCACGAGCTCAAGCTAGCCCGGGTAACATAATGAGACCCTGTCTAAGAGCTGGGTATGATGGCACACTGGTAGATCCGGCTGGGAGCAGACAGTATAGCCTGACTATCTGATGGAAGAATCCTACGCTAAGTGTGAGTCCAACAAAATATGAGGGGACTTCAAAAGGTTTGTGGAAAAATGGAATTAAAGTATGAGTTCATTTTGGTGTAAATTTTTAAAAAATCCATGCGCTTTTTTAAATGATAATGCATTTTCCATGAGCTTTTTGGTTTTTTTTGCTTTATTTATTTATTTATTTATTTTAATTTGACCAGAGAGGTACAGAGAGAGAGAGAAAGAGAAAGTGAGAAAGCAAACTGCCAGATCTGGGACTTGAACTGCAGTTGGCCATGTGGGAGTCCAGTGCCATTAACCACCATACCACCTGCCAGCCCCTCCATGAGCTTCTTAAAGACTTCTGTTCTCTATGGCATTTGGTCCACTAACCGTGTACATGCCTCTGACTAGACAAGTTCTTAGAACATACACCCAGGGCAGATGTACAGCCATGATCTAGAAGTGGAATTAGTTTGGGGTAGAGCCTCTGTGCCCCATCCTTAATCCCATGAGTAGACTGTGTCAATTAGTTCAAAAACAACTAGGGTCCAGCAGATGGTGTAATGGTTACATTGCTAGACTCCCATGTAGTGGACCACGGTTCAAGTCCTAGACCCGGTGGCTTAAAACTCATGCTGGGTGCATGTACATGTGTGCCCAAAATCCCGAGAAGAGAACGGAGGAGAAGGGACTGCAGAAAACAGCTAAAACTAATAAAGTATCATTTCTTAAGTAGGCCAAGGAAAATGATAAAATCATTTAGCTTTTCAGTATATTTTAAAAGATGATATTGACATCAAATGGAAGCCCAGGGTAACTATGGAGGCCATCCGTTGGCCTTGAGCCATAATTAGGAGCAGTCATTCTAAGGGCTATAGGGAACCCACCTCAAATGTACCTCAGTTAGTCCTTATCATGACAAGATGATGGCCATTATTTTTGATCCCTATGTTAACTGGTTTTGAAATGAAGCAGAGACTATTAAAACTGAAAGAAAGGAAACACTACCAGCTGGAGATTGAAAAGCGAGCCACTGATCTTTTTGTATAAACTTTCCTGAGTTGTTTTGTGAAATAATCATTCCTCACACCTCTTACAGGTGTCCCGAGCCTGATTCACCATCTCGGAAAAACAGAGACCGAGCCCAAGAAGACACAGCTCACAGGGTGCAGGTCCCCGGAGCCCGTTGCTAGCCTTCTCTAGCTAACACATCGGTAATAGCTGGGGCTGGAGAGTTCCAGATAGAAATGCAGAGGGGCCGCCACCAGTCGGCTCAACACATACCTGGAGTTCTGCCATTATTTTGTCCCCTTCCTCTTCCTCCTCTTCCTCCTCCTTTGAAGAGACAGTAGTGACTGGTGGGGAGGCTGGGGTCCAGGCCGGAGCCGGCTCCTCTGCTGGACATTTTGTGGGTCTAGTCTGTGGGCTTGGTCCCGCATCTTCGCTGATTGTCTGCGGGAGAGTCAAACCACAGGTATTGGCTTCACACCTCCCAGGTCTACCAAACAAGGTGACAGTCACCAGAGCACATGGTCCCTCACTGCCTACTACATTGGCTTCCTACTTCACATCCTGCTAAAAAGCCATTTCACCCCTTGGATTTAGTGTCTCCACCTCCCTCCCTGTCCTCCACACACACACAAGTTGTCATTTTGGTGAACAGATTGAAACATTCGAACACAATTCTAAGCCCTTCACATTCAGCACCTTCACAAAAGGCCCTCCCGTGCTACGTCTCTTTGAAAATTGTACTTTACACTTAACATAAAAGACAAAACCTGCTAACATCACTGAACAACTTTCTGTGAGACTTTCCCACCTGGATCAGCTTATCGCAGTGACCTCTGTAAGATGGTCTTTCTTCCGCTACCCACACCCAGCACGCGCGATCCTAGATACCCCGCCTGGGAGGCAGCTTATGGTTCACCCTGCTCATTGTTGATGCTGAAAGTCAAGTTAAGGATAAGCTTGAGGTGCTGTGTCTAGTCTGGTAACAACAGCTGGCAGCTCCCCTCAGTGGCACTTTCTGGAGCTCTAGTTCAACTGGACTCTGCTTCTCTTCTCTGCCCCCCATTTCTCATGTTCTTACAGAGAAAACCTTGTCTAGGTATTATCCAAACCCACAAACCAGTTTCTCAGGGCTTAACCTGTCAGACCTTAGTGGTAGTGCTCTCCTTCCTGCCAGTGTAGACCACGTCACCCGATCTCGTGGTAGTGAGCCCTGACCCAGGCAGGTAGCTTCGCCGAGGCGGTGGGGGAGGAGGAGGAGGTGACTTCCCTCCCAGCTTGTCCGAGTCCTGTTCTGAATTTGAAGAGTCTTCTGGAAAACAGTGCACCATTGAAAAAAAAAAAAAAAAAAAAAAAGTCCTTTTAACATAATGTCCAGAAATTCCAGCATCTTATCGTACACTCAATGCAATTTGAATGAAATTCTCTCTATTCTCTCCACAGAGCCATCATTAAGGGTGTAGAACCTGACAAGCAACTGTATGAGGAAACTTTAAAAAGTCTGTAGTGTGGAAAAAAAGAATGAGTATGAGTTTACTTTGGTGCAAAAATTTTGAAATCCATAGTTTTATAATATACATTTCCATAAATTTAAAAAATACACCTCATATTTAAATCCCAGAGAAACCCAGGTTACTCAACCTCTGTCTCAGTTATCTCATCTGTTAAATGGGTATTGCAGTATCCTTCATACTGGGTGTTGTGAGGATTCAATGATTCACAGGGCCAGCAGGAAGCATGGTTCTTAAGGCACTGGATCTTACATGGCTGAGCCTGTGGTTCAAGTCAGGTGTGTGTGTGTGTGTGTGTGTGTGTGTGTGTGTGTGTATGTGTGTATCCAAAGTTGCAAGAGAGAAGGAGAAAGGGTTGTGGAGTGGCCCCTCCCCTGGGAGGGGTGATTTCTTACTTGCCCTGTCTCTCTGTCTCGCTCTAGCCAGCCTGCACACCCTGTGGCATGAAGAAAAATAAAAATCTAATAAATACAGAAATGTTTTACATACAATGCTTGGTTTAAATGCAAAATATTAGCAATTATTATTAAACAAATTTCTTGTTATGCAAGAAAGGGTGAGTATTACTTGAAAAGATGAAAAATCAGAGTCTAAAGTCAAACCCAGAGGCCCTTTCATGGCCTCTAAGCCTTTTATTCTCCCTGTCTGAAAAGTTGCTTTAGCAAGAGGGACTGTGCAGGGCACTGTCAGAGTAGAACTGGCCAGGGGAGGGCCAGGAGGAAATGGGACATGAAGGGGGACCAAAGAACAAAGCCTGAGAGGAAGTGGATTTTTTGGTGGGGTTGTGGTCAGGTGGTTGGAAAAGATTCTTTCTTTGCTAATAAAGTGGCAAATGCAAACATGAGAATTATGAATTAGTGTTGACATCTTTTTCAAAATGGAGGTATCAGCTCAGCTTTACTTAATATGTAGAAAAAGGCATTCTTTCCTCAAAACACCACCAAACAGCCCCTCTTCTGTTCTTTATCAACATCATAGCCAAAGGTTCACAAAAACAATAGAACCGGCAATTCAGACCTGGAGTTTTTTCCCACTCATTCTAGGGACGCGGTATGGTTTCCTAAGAGTGTGCTTTTATTTTCAGGGAAATTGAGACACAGTTGTCTGGAGGACATTCTTGGGGAGTTTCTACTTGAAGTTGTAGTAAAGATATGTTTAAATAATTGGGGAAAAGCAAGTGATTCTCATGCATGAGGGTGGTAGGTACAGAGCTACAGTGATTCACAAAGCACAGAAGCCCAGCCATGGGAGAGCAGCCCAGTTTTAGGCTGACTAGCCCAGGAGGGACCCACGTTTTTCCTGTGATGTGTGACGACAGACTCATTCCTGGGTCACGCTGTCACCCAGCACCTTTGAGCCCTCTACTTGACTTGGCCTTGACTTTGGTCACTGAGCCCAGTCTTAGCAAAGACTCCTGCTTCATCAATTTAGCCAGAACCCCTCATTCTTGTTGCCTGATCAACTTCCTCATTCCCCATCCTTGATATCTAGGTTGTAGGCCTGCCTTTAGCAAGTATCCCTCCACCCTCGATATTGAAGGGATGCTACAGTTTAGATAGTGATCTGTTCCTGGACATTCATGTTTTCAAATTCATCTCCAGTGTGGTGGCAATGGAGGTAGTGAAACCTTTGAGGTGAGACCTAGTAGGTGGTGTTTGGATTGAGGAGGTATCACCCTCATGAATGAGTGAATGAATGCTGTCTCTCACATGGACTCAGTTTTAGCTCTTGTAAGATGGGTAGTTCCCATGCAGGTAGGTTGTTCTAAAAAGAAGATGGTGCCCAAAGTCTCTCTTTAATTGTACATACATGCCATCCTCTGTTGGTCATGCTATAGTGTAGCACCTGAGTCCAGCCTGATGCTAGCCCCATGCCTTTGGACTTTGAGCCACCAGAACTGTAAGGCAAATAAACCTCTGTTGTTTATAAATCACCCAGTTATAGGCATTTCCATTAGGAACACAATTGCGGACTAAGACAGGTAAGTACAATCTCATGCTGATGTTGCGATACTCTTAAATAAAATCTTCATTGCTGTTTTAAAGAAGCATCTTGGGGCCAGCGGTAGTGTAGTAGTTAAGGCGCTGGACTTCCACGTGGCCAACCACAATTCAAGTCCTGGACCCAGCAGCTTGAAAATCATGCTAGGCGTGTGTGCATGCATTCCCAAAACACCAACAGGAGAATGGAGGAGACGGGATTGTAGTGTGGCCATTCCCCTGGGGGGTGTTTTCTTGCTTACTGTCTCTCTGGCAAGCACATATGCCCTGTAGCAAAAATCCCTCAAAACAAAAACAAAACAAAAACAAAAACAAACAAACAAACAAAAAAAGTGTCTCAGTGAATAATTTTTTTCTTTTTTTAAAATATGTTGAGAAAGACTATTCTTTTTTTAAAAATTTAACTTTATTTATTTATTTTAATTAGAACAGAGAGGGACAGAGAGAGAGAAAGTGAGAGAGAGCGAGAGAAGTGAGAAAGCATGCCACCAGATCCGGGACTCAACTGTTGTCGGCCATGTGGGAGTCCAGCGCTCTTAACTACCATGCTATCTGCTGGCCCCATGAATAATTTTTCTTTAACAATGACTAAGGCTGTAATCGTCCAAATTCTTCATCTATTGTGTGTGTGTGTGTGTGTATGTGTGTGTGTGTGGGTGTGTGTGTGTGTGGTGTTTTAGACAGGGTCTCACCATGTCAGAATCCTGACTTCCATCCACAGCTTGTTTAGACAGGGTCTTATTATGTTGTCTACACTGACTGTGATCTCACGGTCTCTCTGCCTTGGCCACCTAAGTAGCTGGGATTATAGGTGCACACCACCACACCTGGCTTTGGGTGAGCTGGGAATAAAACCGGGGCTTCCCATGTGGGCTCAGCCTGTGGAGCAGCAGCTTCTGCTGTGCATCAGCATGGCTGGGTCTCCATCTGTTTTAAATTTTTTTTTTTAATTATTTTACATTTATTTATTTATTTATTTATTTATTTATTTGACTTATTCCGTCCATGAGTGAGAAATTCAGAGAAACTGAGAAACAGCACCCCAAATAGGTGGTTGATGTCGTGCTTCACCCCTAGCTTTAGCCAACCCCAGATCTTGGACATGGGTGCCCAATGATCTCAGGGAGGTCTCTGGATGTGAACCCAGAACCTTCCTATGTGCATCAGCTCTTTGAATGTCACACTTCACTGCTGCACCCTGCCTGTCTCCTTCATCAATTTCAGAAAGCTCTCCATCCTCCCCCATTATTGCTTGAGTAGTCAACTCACCAAAGAGGAAATGCAAATGGTTTTTAAAACCCCAAGCTTAAAATGTTACCCCACTGGTAAATAAACATACATAAAACAATAATACCCATGACAAATTAAAATGGCAGAAGCAAATGTTTATAGGTAATGGATGAAACCTTTACATGTTTCTGGTGGCCTGTATTAAACAAAAACAAACAAACAAACAAAAAAAGTGTCTCAGTGAATAATTTTTTTCTTTTTTTAAAATATGTTGAGAAAGACTATTCTTTTTTTAAAAATTTAACTTTATTTATTTATTTTAATTAGAACAGAGAGGGACAGAGAGAGAGAAAGTGAGAGAGAGCGAGAGAAGTGAGAAAGCATGCCACCAGATCCGGGACTCAACTGTTGTCGGCCATGTGGGAGTCCAGCGCTCTTAACTACCATGCTATCTGCTGGCCCCATGAATAATTTTTCTTTAACAATGACTAAGGCTGTAATCGTCCAAATTCTTCATCTATTGTGTGTGTGTGTGTGTGTATGTGTGTGTGTGTGGGTGTGTGTGTGTGTGGTGTTTTAGACAGGGTCTCACCATGTCAGAATCCTGACTTCCATCCACAGCTTGTTTAGACAGGGTCTTATTATGTTGTCTACACTGACTGTGATCTCACGGTCTCTCTGCCTTGGCCACCTAAGTAGCTGGGATTATAGGTGCACACCACCACACCTGGCTTTGGGTGAGCTGGGAATAAAACCGGGGCTTCCCATGTGGGCTCAGCCTGTGGAGCAGCAGCTTCTGCTGTGCATCAGCATGGCTGGGTCTCCATCTGTTTTAAATTTTTTTTTTTAATTATTTTACATTTATTTATTTATTTATTTATTTATTTATTTGACTTATTCCGTCCATGAGTGAGAAATTCAGAGAAACTGAGAAACAGCACCCCAAATAGGTGGTTGATGTCGTGCTTCACCCCTAGCTTTAGCCAACCCCAGATCTTGGACATGGGTGCCCAATGATCTCAGGGAGGTCTCTGGATGTGAACCCAGAACCTTCCTATGTGCATCAGCTCTTTGAATGTCACACTTCACTGCTGCACCCTGCCTGTCTCCTTCATCAATTTCAGAAAGCTCTCCATCCTCCCCCATTATTGCTTGAGTAGTCAACTCACCAAAGAGGAAATGCAAATGGTTTTTAAAACCCCAAGCTTAAAATGTTACCCCACTGGTAAATAAACATACATAAAACAATAATACCCATGACAAATTAAAATGGCAGAAGCAAATGTTTATAGGTAATGGATGAAACCTTTACATGTTTCTGGTGGCCTGTATTAGTTAAATTCTTTCTGAGAAGAAATTAGAGCACACACGTTTAAAAAGGTAAAAACTTTTTGTTTTTTAAAAAGATTTTTGCCGTAAGGCATGTGAGTTTGCTGGAGAGAGAGAAAGGAAAAATGAGAAATCACCCCTGCCATGGGGAAGGCCACTCCACAGTCTCTTCTCCTCCATTCTCCTCTTGGGATTTGAGCATGCACACATGTGTCCAGCACGATCTTCAAGGCCTGGGACTCCCACCGTGGTCGGGCATGTGGGAGTCCACCACCTTAACTACCAGGCCACATCCTGGCCTTCGTAAAAACATCGTAACAGAGCAAAAATAACTTGGGAGTAATTTTTAAATTAATTTATGTAAAAATGTTTTGAATCTAAAAGAACAAAAAGTCAAAATAATGTTACGTTATATTTTTGTTATACAAACATGAAAAGAAACAGCTGTAGGAAATGTACAACATAAAGAACTATGTGACGAAGTAAATAATGAGGGCAGCAGAATTAGCAAGATAGAAATGTGATAAGGTTCCTTTTATCCACAACAAATTCTCTGTGGGGACTTGGGGAGAAGAGCTATCACGCCCTGGGCCCTACTCTTTCGGGGCAAGTTTTCTGGTTTTCTTACAGTTTATCTGTCTTTGCCATGAGAGAGACACAGAGAGACAGATATTCTCAATATGGCCTTCGCGTCCCAGGCCACTCTCAGTATCAGATCATGGACACACATGTGCCCAATGTACTCAGGGAGGTCCCAGGATGCAGTTGTGTTACCACTGTGCCATCACTGGCCCTTTGGGGTAGTTGTTGCCTGACTATCCAGGGGCCCTAGCAAGGCCTCTCACAGCTGGCAGGTGGGGGAAGGAAATGAAAAAAGCCTCTTAGCACAGATGTAGGGGGAATTTTCAGTGAGTGAAGCTTTAGAGAAAGAAATAAATGAGAACCTGGGAGGAGACCATGACAGTGGTTATAAAATGAGTCCACTTTAATGTTTGTAGTTTAAAAAAATTATTTATTTAATTTTAATTTATTCATTCATTTATTTTAATTTAACCAGAGAGAGACAGAAAGAGAGAGAGAAAGTAAGAAAGCAAACCACCAGGTCCAGGACTTGAACAATGCTTGGCCATGTGGGAGTGTCCAGTGCCTTAGCCACCACATGACCTACTGGTCCCCAATGTTTCTTTTTTTTTTTTTGGAGAGGTTTTTTGCTATACGGCGCATGCACTCACCAGACAGACAGAGAGAGACATAGAGACAGAAAGTGAGAAATCACCCCCCAGAGGGCATGGTCATGCCGCAATCCCTTCTCCTCCATTTTCCTCTCAGGATCTTGTGCAAGTATGCACACGCGCCCAGCGTGAGTTTTAAGCCACCGGGTCCAGGATGTGAACCACGGTCGACTACGTGGGAGTCCAGCGACATAGCCATTACGGTAACTGCTGGTTCCCCCAATGTTTCTTGATATGTGAATTGAGATGGTGATTCCTTTTCAAATTAAGTTTATTACAGGACAAGGCATTACTGAATTTGGTGCAGCAGACACATTAGACTGTAAGCAAAATAATTTTACTTGTACATAATTTTAAGATCACAGTAAGGCACGTGACTTGTAATTGGTGGGAGATTTAGTAGGTTCAGCTTTTTAAAAGTTATTTATATTATTATTATTGACACTTTGATGCTTAACTTCCATAGCTGAGTTCGTAAAATATACATTCTAGTAATTGTGATTTTAAAAATGCAATTCTGCCTTATGATCTCAAATTCCCCAGGAGCTCATAAAAGCTGGCATTTTCATTCTGCAAGATACAAAAAGCTCTTGTTTTAAATGCAGGCCTCATATTCTCCCAGCTGGTGCTATGAAGTGTCATAAATTCATAGGAAATGCAGAAGCTGGGAGCTGAAATTTTCCTTTATTGGAAAACTGTTTTTGTATTCTAACACAGAACATGGCTTTCCTACCATGGTTAGTTTTGTTTTGTTTTAACAATTATTTATCATTATTATTATTTTTCAGTTTGAAATAGAGCATGCCCACTCACCAGAGAGAGCCACAGTTAGGGACAGGAGGAGAGAGGGAAAGAAAGGAGGCAAGCTGCCAGGTCAGAGGTGGCAACCATAGGACACAAATCTAATTCACGAATCTGCTTGGAACTGGGCTCAGGGAACAAGGAACCACTGTTTTGCCAAGAGTTTTAAGAAAATGTCCACAAAAGCTTTTCCTTTTTGTACATATTTTTTTTTTGGGGGGGATGGGGTTTTTCTTACTTTCTAAATTTGTCCATGTTCTCCTGTTTAAGTTACTTGGAAATTGTGGTATCTGCCTTTAACAAATACACTTACACTTCCCCCACATTCACACATTTCTCCAAAATCAAATGCATTATCAGATTTTATGAAACTATTCCAGAACCATGTATGACTGATTGAGACCTCAACCTATTTATTTCAGAGTTATAGTATAGAAGGACAAATTATTACATTAAAATCACTGAACAGGGGGCTACCAGGTGGTGGAGTGGTTAAGGGGGAAAGAGAGGAGGCAAGCTGCCAGGTCTGGGGCTGCAACCCTGATCAGGGCCATGTGAGAGTCCAGTGCCTGAAACACCACGCCAGCTGCTGCCACCTCCACGCTTAGATTTTAAAAGAAGTAATGACAGGGCTAGCTGGTGGTGTGGTAGTTAACGCAGCTGGATCCTACACGGCTGACTGTGTGGTTTGAGTCCTGAATTTTATGGCTCTTAAAACACACTTGGTACATGTCTGCCCAAAATCCGGAGAGGAGAACGGAAGACAAGGGGGTATGGGGTGGCCATCGCCCTGTGGGGTGCTTTTTCACTCCTCTCCCGTCCCCCACTATCTCTCCAGCAAATGCACATGGTCCTTAAGAAAATTGGGAGAAAAAAGAGATGAGTAATGAGGGTCAAAGGGACATCTAAGGATTTCCTTTTCCAACTTTAAAATATTTTAAGACTTAAAAAGAGAGACACTGTCTTGTTAGTCACCACGTGCTTCGTGGCGCCCACACAGCTCCGTCAGCAGGTGCTGTGAGAGGAACCTTACCAGAAAGTTCTAGCTTGTCCACTGGAGCCTCTCCCCTTGGCGGTGCACCTGAGGCTGGTGGCATCTCCAGGTTTGGAATTGACTTCATGATGTTGGCCTGGGCTTCTTCTAGGAGCTTCTC